GATGAGACGATGACTGGTGGATTTATGACTTCGCGAAAAATATGGGGAAGTTGGGTTTGAACAAACAACCATGAATTGATCGTTCAATCTTCAACTGCATTTACAATATCCTTCGTTTTGGGGCGTAACCTTACTGCACTGTATAGCTCTTGCAGCAACACTACCTCAACAAATACATTAACTTCATTTCGTCATTTTATGAAAACCCACTCAATGTGGCTTCAAACTATTTTACAAACTGTGGATAGTCGGCTGAGTTTCCATCAAAGTACCGAGGTTCAAACTTAGCAGTTTTGAAACTTCTATTATCACTAGACGGCGAAACATGGGCATCAAAGTCATCATTCTGAGCATTATGCATATCATTACAATTAACAGGCAACTCATCGTTACTTACTTTTTTGTCTGCTTCCATGGTGCCACGTCCCTTCCTTGATCCAAGCATTATCCAACGTCATCAAAGAATCCAAATCGCGTTGATAATCCGTGTCCAAGGAGATGCTGGCTGCAGACCCAGTAAGTAATCCCGGAATTTCCAGAAGGCACTCCAGAAAACGAATAAAATCTGTCAAAGAACTCATCCCTAAGTTCCTATTGTTACGAAGACGCTCCACACCGATAAATAATAATATATTCTCATTTCGTACGTGAGGGACACCAGTTTACAGGCATTATCAATATGATGAATTTCATATACCATTAGCAATCATACTTGATAATAATTTTTTAACGAATTACATATTTCTTCCTACCTGTGTAGGACACACCAAATGTACAGGCATGAATAAGCATTATTTAAATTTTATAAATTTGGTTTATGGTTTAATTACATGGTTGCTGACGTTTTTGTCTTTAGTTTGTGGGAACAATAGGATAACCAGTCATTCAATGGAGCACATAATGAAACATAAGAATATTGACTTCACATAAACAAAAAAACAAGTATGTTTTGGATGGATTAAAAATACTTGGGAAAAAATGAGGCTTGAAGTAATTCCACAATATAACTTAGGTGTGCACAAATTCGAATCTCATTATTGATTTATATCCAAATTTGGTAATAAGAAAGCTATTTTTACAGATACGATCAGTTATGTTATAAGCTACAAACGTGACGTTGTATTACAAATTAGTACTTTTCCATTGGTATAAGAGTATATCCCACAACTGTGGTCCAGGTTGCTTCGTGGGGGAAGGTAATACGCAATTCACGAAGGAATTGTAAGATATGGGACCAATAATGTTTGCGGATCATTTGTCATTGTAAGTAGTCAAATATCCACATGCTTCATTCTCATTCAGAAAGTCAAATGGAAGCTAAAATGGTGAGAGAGAGAAAAAAGAATACAAACAACAGCAAAGCAAAAGAAAGCAACGGGAGTCCTTAAGGAGTGATTAATAAATATATACATATATATTCTGTGTAGTAACTATGGTTATTTTGGTACACAAACTAACTAGTCCTGTTATGCTAACTTTTATATTATGTGTGAACTAATATTACTATCCTGTGTAGAAATGTTTATCATCTAGTTCCAAGAATACTAAAATTTGTAATTGTAGTTTGTTGTAACTACACGTTTAATGAACTTAAAATATCTATGTGGGGTGTAAGAGTCAAACGTAGAAGTGCATTTTCAACTTTCAGGAGTCTGGTGACTGAGGAGATGAACACTGGAAGTGTGTTCGCATCGCGCACACTAGCTGGCAGTTTATTCCAAATGACTGAAAACTTATTTAAGAAGTTGTACCGCACGTAAGTCTGACAATGATCTATAGCAGCTAGGTTGTGATGATTTCTAAGATTGTAACTGATGAGAGCGGTAGGTTTAGTTATTGGCTCGGAGGAATGCAAGAGAAGATTATTTAGCTTGTAGTAAAAGACAAGGTTTAGCTTAAGACGTTTTATACAAATTTATTATGTACTTTTATTCGTTTTTGATCGTCTTCGTGGAAATCGTACACGATCGAACCATTCGCACCTTCGAGTTCCTCCCCAATGGCTACCAGTTCCAAAAGCAAACGTTCAATGTTCACCTGCATTAGCATACTTTGTGACTGTAATTTATGAAATAACTGATGGTGCCTCTGAAATTTTCTTTTAAAGGTGGCCTTTTATGCGAAATGTAAGTCAGTATTATTATTATCAAGTTACGCTAGACTCATATTAGAGCACGGTTATAATCTAGACAAGTAGTCTAAGAGAAGTGCCAAATAATTTACGCACCCAGTGGATAACAGTGATATTCTACGTAAGTGTAGGGCAATAACCACTGGGTTTCTACCGTATCTTCTCAGCTTTTTACTCTCATCGATACCTTCCGGAAGAATACCAGAATGTTTACAAGTGTCAATTGTTTGTGGGTTATTCAGGAAGCGTGATAACTGCGTATGCGATGTAATCGGAAGCCGCATCATGATGAGCTTGGAACTACCGCCAGCCTTTTTAGATAGCCTAGAATTGTAATACTTACGTACACCTGAGCAGTTAATGGTCCTGACGCGGAAACAAAAAAATCAGAAGACCACCTCGTTCACAATGATACTTGCATTTTCCAAACAAGGAAAATAATGACTTTCACACAGGTTTGAGAATGAAAGGGTACGTAGTGTACGAAATATGTGAACAAGTGTGTATAAAAGTGTACAATACAAAAGTATGTACGAAAATGACTAATATACATGAGCCAATAAGATAAACATCTTACCATGATTGGATTCTGATTTTTTGTAATGTCATGTGACAAGAAGTTCATACATTGTTTATTTAGTTAATGGACAGACAAAGAACATTGTCAGTTATAATGGAATATCGATCAATATACACATGGTAAAATATATCAGACTGTCAAAAACAAAACACACATCATGCGACTGCGCATCAACTTCTCCCACTTGAATCAATAATACTAGGAATTCTGGCTGACGATGAATTCAAACAGCACCACTGGAGGGCTTACATGCCCCATAAAGCACAACGCGGTTCCTGTGTGGTGAACCTAATGTCAGCTTAGAATAATTGGATACTATGCTTCGATATGAATGTTATAGTTCATATGGTCTTCTTTGTCTGTGAGAAGATATCTCACACATTTGGGTCGCCACTGTCATAGGTGGAGAACTACATGGACGAAAGAAATTACGCACCAAGGTCAATCGTGTCCGATCATCTTGACACAGTTCGTCACCAAGAGTGTCACAGAGTGTTGTCCTAGGGCAACTGAGGTTTTCGACTTTTATAAATGTCCTGTCATGCTACCATATCTGCCGGGCTCTTCTTTGAGCTCTCGACACAAAGATATATAGACCCATACGGTGCTTGGAAGACTCTGGTGAGCTACAGGCGGTGTTGTACAGTAATATTAACTGATGAGAAGATTAGCATGTCCCCTGAGCAAGGATGACAAGCAAAATCATGAAGTGCTCGATCTACAGGCGGACCTAAAATTCTGGAAGACTGGACAATGGTCGGCGGTACGACTTTTAACGTGAAAAAGCAAGTAAAGCAGCTAGGACCCTGTAGGCTGCAGTGTTAGTGACACCCTGTGTGACGAAAACCCATCGTGTAAAACTTCGGGGTGCAATTTAGGCCTGGTTCTGTCGGAAGTAATGGGCACATGTATGATATAACGAGAGCGTATGTCGTTATACACTTCACACGTGGACAGTTGAATGCTCTTAATCCTCTGCCGTTTCTGAAGAAGCAAAATATGATGTATGACCACGTCTTGAAGTCCACAATAACATTTCTCTCCTGCCACTTAGAAGAGGGCCTAAACTTTTGGGAAGAGTGCAAAGTCGGACGACAAAATGAGTGATGGGTCTCCAAAATAAACCATATGATGAGCAGCTGAAGAAATCCGGTCTTCTCAAATTTAGCCACTGTTGGTTTAGGGGTAACTTTACTACTGTCCTTATATATACTATATATTATATTATATTATAATAATATAATATAATAATATATAATTACTACTGTCCTTAAGATTAAAAATAAACAGAATCACCTAAGTAAAAGTCTACTGCCATCAATTAATTATGGGTTTCCACATGTCACTCCACGAAAGATAGCTCACTAGAAAGCAAAGAATCAAGTACCCTCCCTATTCCTTTTACTTTGAGTTTGCTACTGATGGTACTCTGCCAGCAGATGTAGCAACTGCATCGTCAGAAGAAGGCTTTAAGTTAAGACTGAGCGATCATGCAGCGACAGGACTGCGTCTAAACGGCGTGTCCCCACGTTACTCGCACATTATTAACGGGTACACACTTAAACTCGTCTTTAAACCTCTTCACATCCTCTCTTACCTCACCCTTCCAAGCACTCCAGCTATTAATTTCCTTGCGTTGTTACTGAGATACTGCCAATTTCAAATTTCATTAGCTGTCTCTTTTTAAAATTTCTTTCTTTCTTTTTAAAGTTCGCATAATCTACGCTGATTATATATGTCATATTATAATCAGTTTATCACCTCAGCAGACAACTAGTGAGTTAAGGAATCAACTTCACTTACAGTAGTGAAGCAGTTTTTACACACCGCATACTATAAACCATGTATATTCAATCCCAGATACACTCCTTTTTGATTTGTTACAGGATTTCATCATGAACTGACATCGGTTAGAGAACCAGCGGAAAACCTAAGAGTACTGGGCAGTGGTTCTTTACCGATATCAGCTCATGATGAAATCCTGTATCAAATCCATATAAACCAATACAATTTTTTGAGTCAGCCTTAGCTATAACAGTTTAGTGGCGGGATGAACTACGGAAAAATTTACGAAATACTGGCGACCTTTACCCTCCAATGAAGAAGCTGGCTCAAAGAAATCAATTTCCTTTAAAGTAGCTAGTAAAAGCAATATTGGATGTATCGATATTGGATACTGAATATATTAAGGCGCCTTGAACAACTGTTGCGTTCTTTTGCCAGCGCAAATGTTCTGCGTTGGTAATTTGTGGATCCTTAGCCTTGTAGTTGAATATTACCTGTTCTGATATGATCCCTTCAACTTGGGATGAGCTGAGAATACAAGCTCGCATACTGGAAAGTGAAATTGACGCCAAGCTAGCCGCTTTTGGAAAGATTGGTGCCCGTCCAATTGAGCACAAACACCCTCCACGCTTTAGTACTTCTGGGATATTCGACAATAGTAGTTCCACTCAGACATCTACATGCCACGAACATTTTGACGCAAATTTCAGCGTAATGTGCACTGAAATTGAAGAACAGTTACAAAAGTAAGTCATTCGCTTGAAGAGAAGAGGACTACAAGGCGCTGATTACTTTTATTACGTCTATTCGCATGTCTAAAAAATTTTCTTATTCACTTCTCGACCTCGTCAAGAGGGGTGGTGTCCATTTTTGGTTTGCTTCATTGAACTTATATAACAAAGCCTTTAGAGATAACCACCGACAAAATGTGATTCAGGGAGTTCCTTCACTTGGCAGAACCACACATAATGTTCTCCCCTTTGACCCAGAAAGGTGTTTCCATTTTGTTGTGATAACACGGATAAAAAAATTTCTAGAACCCAGACCACTGCATAGGATGTGGAATGGTGTCAACCTTACTAAAAAATAGAATAAAAGCGGGGTACCACCTTTTCAACCACAAGTCTTGTGAGTTTGGCTGTTTACTAAGTACGTTTGTGCTAAAATGTCCAAATATCGGTTGCTTCAAGTGCAATACACTTAGCTGAATATTACGTCAGTGTATTTCACACCAGGCCTTTTGTAATCTGTACAAAGTTAATACAGAACTAGAAATCCACTGTTAATCCATTGTTAACAAACACTTTGCCTCATGCTCACCTCAGTTTAAGGTAATGGTTATTATGCGGTCCAGGAAAGGACAGTTGACAAAATACCAATTACAAAAACATCAATGTAACAGGCATACATTACTGAAAGTTGATTTGAATCCCAGGAATTCAAATAAATAAACGAATTTATCCGTAACAGTGAGTAATTCAGGCATGTAGTATTCACTCAATTTTATTGTTCAGGAATATGGCAGTAACACGTATGAAACAGGTTCACTTCGCCTACCTAATTCATTGTTGTGGAAAAAGAGAAAGAATGGTGGTATTTCTTTCGACAAAATCCGCTTGCTTCAGCATTCCACATAAAGAGATGGCAGCATCTGCCGAACCTCCTACTGTTTTTGTAAAAGTGGTCCTCATCAAGCTTAAGCATGATGTACCCATTCCCCGCCTTGCTTTTAAGATTACATGTCGCCTTTCTAATCCTTTTAAACACCAAATCTGCGGATAACATACGTCAGTAAATATATTGTGCTGTGTGCCTAAGCTTTTCACTAAAAGTCACTAAACACTGTTTTAAACAAGTAGACTAATTAGAATTCTGCCACTCGGTAAAGATTTTCCATGCGCCAGACTATTAGGTGCACTCATTGTGTGAAGTTTGATGACACTACCCATTCGTCGAGACAAAGGTAATTGGCACCGAATCGAAAAAGAGCTCGGTGAGTAAAAATAAAAGTGCTTACCTTGACGAGTCACATCCTAATAACAATCTGTGTCTGAGGCTAGTCACAGCAGAGGTAGTCCCCCTCATGTTACATGCTTCGAAGTGACTAACAGCAAGATGTTATTTTGATCGAGTTACTTTGGCATTGAGTTCCAGATGATTTTCAGATTTTCGATATAGGGTTGTGTAATTACAGTTCTGTCCTATCTGGAATTACGTGCTTTGTAATCGAACACTTATCTTTTAGAAATAGTGTTTAAACAGAAGTAATATGTGCATTTCTCTTAAGTATTGAAAAACGTTTTCTTGTACTCTGCATGTGAAACAACTATGTATTCCACAATGATGCAGGAAGAGATTTCTTTCAATATTGCACATGCAGTTATTATAGATTTTTAATAATGAATTATCCTTATATGTTTATATTTGCATACCTCCCGTATGAACTGGATCGCATTTTTTCCTTTGAAATAGGGCGACTTTAGATAGATCGCCATTGTTTATTTGCGTTTGCATGTCTTTATTTCAGTCTTTTCCTCATAGTTGCTTGTGGTGTATTACATATCATTGTTCACTAAAGACAAAATATATTTAGCCACTAATGCTTCTCGGACACCGCTCATTTGTAAGCTATGTAGACGTCGAGTATTGAAGGAGTCTTTAAGATAAGTAAGTTAATGAAGTTGTGAACTTTGATTGAGATACGCTTAAATTTTGTTTATCTCAACATAATGCAGCCTTCTGAACACCTTTGGCAGAAATCTTACTATGTTTGGCATGCGATTTGCCCCTATCAGAAGTAAAATAAAACTAAAAGATTGAGCGAAGAAAATTTTCTTTATCGACGAAATCATCTTCAGAGGCTGTACAGTCGTATTTATATTTACCAAAAATGTATAGTAGTCTATTATTGAGTAATAGGGGGTGACAATTGATATAATTACTCATAAGTGGCTTTAGAAGTGCCGTTGAGTACCGCGTAATTTACAACTTTTAATTTTCACTTCTAATGCCACTTATGAGTAATTATATCAATTATGTCACCATATTAGTTTGTTCATTAGATGTATCACACAGTGAAACAGTATTGTATACTGGATGACGTTTCGAACACATGTTTTTTTGTTTGTGTTTTTGACCTCCACTAGCTCTTTTCCAGCCTGACCCCATATCCGCTAACATTGCCCATCGAGGAAGGCGATGACTAGGTATACGTAACACATGTCCTAACCATCTCAGTCGATGTAACTTCACAACCTCGTCGATTGATTTCCCCTGCTTACCTAGAACTCGACGCCTAACCTCAACCTACTAGAACATAGTAGACTAAGAGTCATTGGCAAACGTCTGCAATCTTCATCTTTGTCTTGGACATTGTAATTCACTTTTTTTGTTATAATGATCATTATTCCTCTCTCCATATCCTCTTAGCTCTTCACCAGTATGAAAATCACCGTCCCCATTGTGTTTATTTTCGTTGATTCTTTTATAATTTTTGTTAGCGTTATTTATAAAGTGCGAGGAGGAGATGAAAGCATGTGGACATACCTGGAGCAGGGTGAAAAAGTTGTCAGAAAACCGAAGGCAATGGAGGTGCGCAGCTGAAGCCCTATGTTCCTCTAGGAACTAAAGGATACAATAATAATAATATTTATAAAGTGTTGGACGTCGTGACGTATTTAAATTTATCTTGATTGGTATCTAGGTCGTTGTACTCGTAAACGGCGATTCGGTGGTAGAACGCTCACCAACTACTCATGTGGTCCGAGTTTCGATCCTCGGCCAACGCACTCCTAAACCTCATTAAGCCGGTATTAAGTCCGGTAAGGAGGAAAGGTTGGGTATGAGGCTAGCATTCCCCCGCTACTGAAACGTCAAAGCTCTAGCTTGAAGCCCTGTGTGCTCCAGTGGGAATGTAAAGGAATTAAAAAAACACACGCAAAAACATGAAATGATTGTGTAAACGAAAAGTTTGTGTACAGTATTCTATTATAACAAGACTGACTGACTAATCCACATAGAAGTTCACATGAATTTATCAACAGAAATTACTTAAAGGCCGTTATAATGATCTCTCTTATTATCAGCATAAAAGTTGATTAAAAATAAGTCTGAGATTAACATATTTTTCAAAGGGTATTGTATATTTTTTTATGCACTTGTGTTCCTACCAAGTATTAATTATCTTTCAGTCGTTAAACATATAAAACCCTAATCGATTAACTTTTTCCACTTGAATTTTATTTAACATCTTTCGGACATTTTCAGCAAAGTTGTAGTGGCCAGGTGTTTATTTATTTGTGTTCTTAACTTTCAGACTCACTCAGATCAATGAAAGGATGGCTACTTTTGTTCCAGAAACAGAAACCACACCTACCTCTTTTGATTCTACCACACGGAATCCTCTTAATCCAACTAATATGGCAGCGGGTAGACTTAGTCAACTGCATACAGCTAAAAGACATCGAGAAATCCTTCGTGATTATGCTCAGGAATTTCGTCAAACAAAAGCTAAACTTATTGCTGCCCGCGAACGGGAAAATCTGTTGGGATCTGTAAGCATTTCTTATTCCGTAAATATTCCTCATATTTGGGTTTTAAAAACCTTGTGTCAATACATGTGTTCCATTTGAAAGTATGACAAGGTATGTATTGATTACCAAGTGATCAAACTATTTTGCATTCTAGCAAATATACATCCATTCAAATTATCTATGTATAGCTAGTTTTCTGGGGTTATTGTATAAACATGTGCTATCGCCTTTAGAGACGAAGACATTTCTGGAGGTCAACTGTATGTTTGTCTGTCAGTGCTTCACCAAGTAGTATGTTTCAGGTTGCTGATCCATCCAACAGTGAAAATGAAAATACAGTTGCAGTTTTAGCCTTTAATCAAGAAAGACATGTCAAGGAACGAAGCTAAGCGCCCTACATTCCTCAGAAAAAAAATAAAACCAACACTTGAATAAAATAATCGTTGACTACTAAGTCTGGTCACAGCGTCAGCTGATTTCGTTTTATCGAATAATAATAATAATTCGAATAGCCTTTGAATGACGCTCGTGATCTAATGTTTGGTCTTATGATCCTCACTTTCACCTGAGATCTTTTATAGCAGATCAGTAGTATAGGGCAGACGGTTGTACAATATGTATTTCTTTTGATAGACTATTGGATTATGTATAGGTTGCATAAATGCCATTGTCTAACGAGGACTGAGGGCATTTTCTGTATCTTCACCTGAATTTTAAGAAAAGCCGCAATCGAGATGCTTTACAAAGCCAAAAATACTTAAAGATAATCAAGAATACATAACTACTCCTCATTATCTAGTCACCTTCCATGTAACTCAACCTTACAGATTAGACTAAGCTTCTAAAGTGTACACGTTAGAAGAGTTCTACGATATGATTCGAGAAGCACCGTTGTTAAGTTTGATTATTCTACTCAAAATATGATCATTTACACTTTCATACTTTCCTTAACCACAATTGTATGGTCACCTTAATATTCCTTCATTGTTTGCTTATATTCCAAAGCGTGTAGTTACTTAAACTGTGTCAGATGTGTAGGTTCTATCTTATTGTGGCGGTAAAATCTAAATCTTTCGGATTAATCCTAATTTTTGGATGTACCAATGTCCGACAGATGATTGTTTACTAGCAGAGAGACTACTCAGACTATTATCATATTTTTAAATTCCACATCACCCAAAACTTGCAATTCACCTAGTCATTAGATATATAAGCATAGTGTTTATTTGTTAACCGACAGAAGAAAAACGCAATGGACGGCAGAGAATGTTATTGTACCCAGCAGTCAACCATGTGTGCAGTTAAAGTCCATCACAACCCAAGTGATCAAAACAAACTACTGTTTTTGAGAGACTTTCTCACTTCTTAATTCTACACCTATAATGTTATGTGGAAACAAAGAGAGATAGAGAGAGAATGGAGTTTTCATGCAAAACACATCAAACAAAATGAATGACATAATAATAGTTTTTTATAAAATAAAACACCTTGAGGCACATACATTTCCTCGTGAGTTACTACTATTTCTTAATAAGTTTCGATAAACACATTCCGTTAAGACTAAAAGCTTCCTACTGAATGTCAGTTAAAGTGGAATTAGGTTAGAAAAAGGCAAAGTGTAAACAGAATAACACAGGACCGAAACTAGTTGGGGAGTTGTTGATACCAAAGGAATACTAGACAACTTCTTTGTACTGCTTAGCAACTCTTCTACAGAGGGCATATACAACTCCACTGGGGATCGGACCCAGGGCCTTCAGACTAGTATGCGAGCAGCAGAACGCCATCTTGACAAATTCTAGATTGAAATTTACCGAATCCCTATAAATCTGAAATCTGAATATTAATCCATAAAGTCCCTAGCTGTTCGCCCAAGTCTTTTATGGGGATGTAGTTTGCTTTGATGCAGTGTTAAAAAGCTATGGTTGAAGACCTAGTGTGTAAGCTCAAATCCACTTCTCCCACTAATCTTCATACAGTTATTTGCTGTCATGTTTGTGTTTGTCCATTCTATCCACTTCGTCTGCTTTAGTTCTTATGAAATTTATAGAATTGAAGTGATTAATCTATCTGCATTCATGCTTTATGTGTACAGAGTACGGTTCAAGGTAAGCTTTTTTTTCTTCCTGTGGAGTGTGCTTTCGTTCTCTGAACTGGATGATTTAATCGCGGATCTTTCGGTATTCTTCAGGACAACATCTTCAGCGCCTACACTTCAATGTGAAGTAGGTTTTAGATTCTCACTGTTACTAAGATGGATTCCCTACATAGTGAAACTGTGGTGTATTTTGCTAGATAATCAACTTTTGACATGCAGGTCACGCACTCAAATCTTTTTCCATTTATCGAAATCTCAGCAGCTATTCGGTATCAGTTATCAGTCGAAAAATAAGTGTGAAGCACTTCCTGATATATGACTTCACATATGCTGAGTCGCATTATTCACTGTTTGCACCTTGCCTATATTTTTCTTACATCACACCTCACTGTATTAACCGATTTACATTTATGTTTAGTCACATGTACATAGAGAGAACTCATCGGTCTCTGCAGGTCAGGGCTACATAACACATTTATAAGTGGTTGCAAGAACCAAGCATATGGCCTGATTCAATTGATCCTGGAAATAGTTGTCCAACGCATCAGTTGCAAATGAAATCATAGAGGGAGTTCATTTAGCTGGTTTCGGTAATGTCTTTAACCCACTTATACTTAAATTTCCCAAAGCCTTAGCCACAAAAAGGCTTAAATTTGTTTCATGTTTTGAAAAATTATTTGTTATTACTTTGAACCTGCTTTTTTAATCCAACTCTAGAACCTAAGGTCTATAATATTTCCACCTCCCTTGGTATCTTATCTCATTTTTCCACTTCTTATCCGTGATTGTTACCAGTAAGCATTCTGACCTATAGTGATAAAATTCTGATTCGGCATATTCTTGTTGCCTTCTATTTAAATATGTATGACAAAATAGGTGTGTGGTCAGAATGTCCGAAATGCGTAGCTCAAATACATTGCACGTTGCACATAAGATTGCGTCTTCTTCTTACCGTTATTATTTTGCCAACGTATCTTATTAAGCCATGTTATTGCTCCTATATAGTAGCACTGATCATGGTCACCCATGATGTAACTTTAACGTTTCCTATCGTTTGACTAGAACTTCAGTGCTTAGCTTAATAACCATGTAGGAAATTTCATCAAGAGAATTCGGTAAGCACTTTGAACTCTGTGGTTACATTCTACTGACTGACTGGCTAATTTCAACATAGAACTAACTTTGCAGCGAAGTGGAGCAGTTCGAGTTGCTACACTCTATTTAGCATGCTAAGTTAGACAGAAAAACAATAATAAACAGAAATGTGAGGAATAAAGAAAGAATAGTAACATGGAGAAATTATAGCGTTCAATGAATATGGGTAATCATAAAGAGTGAATCCACCGGCAGCATTGAGAACGATTTTGAGTCAAATCACCAGTCTCCAGCCATTGGTTCTGACCGTTTGAAGGACTCCAACCAGACTGGCAATCTGTACCTTTCTTCGTAACCTGCTTTAGGTAAATGTTATGGACTTTACTGACTGATGCCATGTTTTGGATTGACTACCACTACCTTTTTTCCAACCTGATCTTATGTCGCTCGTCAAGGAAGGCGATGGACGGCTAAGCACATACGTAACATATGTCCTAACCATCTCAGTCGGTGTAACTTCACAACCTCATTGATTGATTTTCCTTCCTTGCCTCAATATTACTCACCCTATTATACTACTTAACACGAAAGATAGAACGTAGACACCTATGATCCAAAGACAACTAATCTTTTCATGCTTTTAAACTTCAGTCTGCCAATGGATGTTTAAGTTGTTGAGAAAGTGCACATCAACCTGTTTGTTTTTAAGATTCATTCATCTCCCTTTTTCTTCTGTTTCTTCCCTATACAGGTTTATAGAGACACAAATTCTACAACTGTAAATCTCAGTGGTAATTTCACCTCAAGACCTCAGTCTGAAGTAGATTCTTCCGGTGGTAATCAACGTCCTGGTGCACAATCAAATATTTCAAGTTCAACACGTTTACTTTTAGATGAACAAGAGAAATATCATCGTTCTAATCGTTTATTAGACGAACATTTAGCTGCAGCGTCAACAATACGCGCTGCATTACGTGCTCAGCGCTTTGCTCTACGCACTGCTTCAACAGGCTTATCAAATTTAAGCTCCCGTTTTCCACAGGTGAAAAAATTAATCAGTAAAATTGACTGGCGTCATAAACAAGATTCAATTGTTTTAGGGCTAGTAATTGGTTGTTGTGTTGTGTTTCTTTTAATTTATCGATTTAGCTGAGTTACATATATGTGCATATATATACATATACATATTACTTATTTTTTATAGAAAGTAGTACTCTGCTACTTTGGTTTATTGATATCGTGTTATTATTATTATTATCTAAGTCTTTGTGCGTGTTTTTCTCTGCTGTACATGTTAAGGTCCTTATTTAAAAAATGATGAAATTGATTGGACTGTATTTCTTCTCCTTTCCCCGCTCTGCTCCTGTCCTCTTCAACTCCGTTTTTTTCTGCCTTCTTATCATCATCACATCTTGTTTTCCTTGAATGCACGCACTCAACAACAAAAAAGATGTTTGATTGTGATATGAATCAGAACAAGTTTACCTTACTTCTAATCAATAGGAAGCAACAGTTGGATTACGTCTATCGCTTAGGGAGGAAAATATGTAAAACAAATGTCTTTCATCAAATCAACTGGATATACAAAAGGGATGGTGGAAATCAATTGAAATTTCAGTGAAAGGAAGCGAGAGAGAGTGTGTGTGTTTGTGTGAAAATGTCAATCTATGGTGCAGCAACAGGCAAGGTTTGTCTTCTTCTTTTCAGCTTTTCTTTTATTCCTAGTAAGGTAAAGATGCATGGATGAGTAGTTTATAAGTATCATAATATGTGTATACACATCTGTTGAAAAAAAAATGGTTTAACTCATAAACGGTTGATTTTCATGCAATTTTATGTACTTCTCTTCTCTTTTTCCATTTCTTCCAACCATTGGTTTGTTTGTTTCACTTCATGTTCTTTTCTTTACAAAGAAGAAATAAAAAAATATATATACTGAAAAAAGTGCACTGCATTTTTGAAATTGTAAACTTAGAGAGCCAGTATATCTTGTCTCTCCCAACCATCATCGCCTAAATTGACAAAAGTAGTCGGTTTAGAGCAGACTGGTGGTATGGTAACCAGTGGAAATTTCTCTTGTAAAAATCACAATCTCTGCTGTGTTTAGACTTAGGGACCGATAGAATTAAGGTGCGTCCTAGTTAATATCGCCTAAGCAGTTGATATAGTTCCTCACAGAAGTTCTCTGTCAATCACAGTAGTTTGTATCCTATAATTCATGCTCAACTTTCCAATAGTATCCGGTAACCGAATTGGTATAATTCTCGTGGTCCCACTAGTAGCCACGCCACCAATTTCATATAGGAGCATTTAATGTTAGGACACTTTGCCAAATAGGACAACAAGCATCACTAGCTAAGACCCTGGCATCCCGAGCCATTGATGTATGTTGTGTTTCAGAAACACGCATACAAGACCCAAGTGTGGTTATTCACCTAACCCCACCTGGCCAACAGGATGAATCTTCAAAATTCACCTTGAGGGTGTCAGGAGATGCCACAGCTAGTTCACGAGGATTAGCTGGCGTAGGGATAGCTTTGAGTACTAGGGCAGAAAAGACATTACTTGACTGGATCCCAGTAGATAGCCGAATGTGTGCTGTCCGTCTGAACGGATCAGTAAGAAGGAGAAAGGACTGCACTACTCGCCGATGCCTTTTCGTAATCTCCGCCTACGCCCCCACTGACTGCAGTTCGGATGAAACGAAGGATGAGTTCTACCAAAAGCTGTCTAGTTTGGTGAGAAAGGCTAAACGCTCAGATATAGTCGTTCTAGCTGGTGACTTTAACGCTCAAGTAGGGAAATTGTGTCAATCTGAGAAGGATGTCGGTGGCACCTATGGAGTTCCGTGCCAGCGAACCGACAACGGTGACCGTCTCCTACAGTTCTGTTCAGATAATCATTTGTTTCTTGTAAGCACTAACTTTAAACACAAGGAGAGACACTGTTTAACCTGGCGACCCCCATCATCAAACCAACGCTGGACACAAATAGACCACATAGCAATAAGCTATCGTTGGCGTGGGTCGGTAGGAGATTGTCGCTCCTTCTGGAACACGTGTGTAGATACCGATCACGCACTGGTCCGGGCTCGTGTGTGCTTACGACTGAACGGACGTAGGAAACAGCTGGCGGTAAAACCATCACGTCCCCAGCTCGATCAGGAAACTAAATCCCTATTTGAGGAAGAACTAGCTAAACGCATATCTGAATTCGACAGCTGTGCTCACCCTGGAGAAGCCTGGAAGAATATTCAGTCAGCTATAGATACAGCTGTGAATAAGGCAAATCCAAAGGTGAGTAAAAACCACTGGATTTCGACTGCCTCATCCGAACTGATAGATGCTAGAAGACTTATTCCGGCGAGCTCCGAATTCAATGAGGAGCGAAAGCTGCACAAAAGGAAACTTACTAAAAGTCTCCGCAAGGACCGTGAACAGTGGTGGGTGACAAAGGCAAAAGAGATGGAAAAAGCATCGGCGATAGGCAACTCTTTAGACTCATCAGGGAAACGGGTGGGAGAAGGCAAATCATAAGTGAGACTATTTCTGAGAAAAATGGCTCCTTAATTAGCTCTCAGGATAGACGCCTTGAACGCTGGAAAGAACACTTTGAGGAACAATTTAACTTGCCTACAGCCACACTGAACCTCCCCGACATCCACCACACACCCGAATGGGATATAGACACTGGTCCGCCGTCTGTAAGTGAGGTCACAAAAGCTATCAGTAATTTGAAACGAGGCAAAGCGGCAGGACCCGACGGAATTATTCCGGAGGTGTTTAAATATGGGGGTGACATACTAGTTTGTAGATTAACTGAGGTACTAGGCAAAGTCTGGGAATCAGAGACAGTGCCATCAGACTGGGGTAAGTCACTTATTATACCGATATTCAAGAAGGGAAACAAGTCCTCGTGTGATAATCATAGGGGGATCAGCCTAACGAACATAGTCTCTAAAATCCTAGGCTCAGTAATCATGCATAGACTAAGCAGAACTCGGGAGGAACAGACAAGGGAAAATCAAGCAGGCTTTAGACCAGGTAGAGGGTGCATAGATCATATCTTCACTCTTCGACAGATTCTAGAACATAGACACACTTTTCGGCGTCCAACAATTGTCATATTTCTTGACTTGAAGGCGGCCTTCGACTCCGTGGATCGAAAGGTACTATGGCAATGTCTGACTGTGAAGGGAGTGCCAAGAAAGTACATTGCACTAATCAAGGCACTCTATTCAAACTCACGTAGTCGTGTAAGGGCTTATGGGGAATTGTCATCTGAATTGGTAACAACCAGTGGTGTCCGACAGGGATGTCCACTTTCCCCATTTCTGTTTAACTTCATCATAGATATGCTGATGGAAGTATCCTTAACTGAACGTAATGACTTAGGAATCGACTTGTTACCAGGGAATAATCTTATGGACTTAGAATATGCAGATGACATAGTCCTGTTAGGGGAGGATGCTGACAAAATGCAGAGTCTTCTGAACACCTTGAGCAGCAATCTTCGTATGTTTGGCATGCGATTCGCCCCTACAAAATGTAAGATGCTGCTACAGGACTGGACCACGTCAACCCTAACTTAGTGATAGGGAGTGAAGTGATAGAACATGTTGACCACTTCACCTATTTGGGAAGTTGTATTAGCACCAACGGACTGATTGGCGATGAAATCTCAGCACGGATCCGAAAAGCTCGAGCTGCTTTCGCTGACTTACACCATCTCTGGCGTAGGCGTGACATCCGGTTATCAACCAAGGGACGTGTGTACTGCTCCAGTTCGCTCCGTCCTTCTCTATGGCTCTGAAACATGGCCAATACGCGTTGAAGACATGAAAAGGTTGACTGCTTTCGATCATAGATGTCTGCGATCTCTGTCTCACGTTAGGTGGTTTAATAAGGTAAGTAATGTTGACGTTAGGCGTAGAGTGTTGGGCAAAGAGGGAAAATCAATCGACGAGGCTATAAAGTTACATAGACTAAGATGGCTAGGTCACGTGCTGCGCATGCCTAACCACCGCCTCCCCCGACGGGCATTACTAGCTGATATAGGTGCAGGTTGGAAAAGAGCCAGTGGTGGCCAAACAAAAACATGGCATCAATCCATGAAATCCTTGACAGTTAAACTGAGTCAGGTAGGGAGATGCAGACTCCCGGGTTGGGGCCCTCGGGACTCTAGGAATCAATGGCTGGAGACAATAGGTGACATGGCTCAAAATCGTTGTCAATGGCGCAGATGTATTCAGTCTCTGTAATCTTTCATATTCCTTTCTACCATTACCCATTCTGTTTCACTCTTATACTTGTCAAACTCTATTGATTCTCTTCACTCATCTTCTTGTCTACCTCTGTGTGCTATTTGGAACGTGGCAACTCGAACTGCTGCACTTCGGTGCCAAGTTCTATGTTGAATCCAGACAGACAGACAGGTCCCACTGGTTAAGTGAGTAACAGACACTGTGGCTGATGTTGATGATTTCAATATGTACCTAGGTGAGTTTTCACTTCTTGATAGTTGTCATGCGTCAGACCGTGGGAAGCGAAAAGACAGGAATACAGTGAACTGATCAGAGGACTCTAAAAGATCTGCATTTCACGGATGATTTATGTCTAGTGTCACATAAACTCAAAGACTTACAGGTAAAAAGCTACAAACTGACTGAAGAAGTAGGCAACGAAAACAGGACTTCAGGTGAACATAAAGAAGACGGAGGTGATGAAGATAACCAACCAACAGCGAGAACAACCAGCAGCATTCACCATCGACGGGAGACGTTTGAAAGACGTCACTTCCTTCACTTATCCGGTTAGGAAGCACGTTTTCAACCACAGTCATTTGGAACGGATGAAGATGTTAAAGCTAGTCAGAATCGAAAAGGCAAGATACGCCTTCATCAACCTGAAACCAGTTGGGAAATCTTCTGAACTCAGCAACACAAAGAACAAGATTCGGATTTTCAACACAAATGTGAAGTCATTTCTTCTATATGGGTCAGAAACCTGGCCAGCATGTGACGAAAACGATTTCCAACATATTGCAGACTTTCATCAACAGCTGCCTTCGATGACTCCATAGTGAAGATCCAATGGCCAGAAAGAATTAGCACCAAGAAACTATGGGGACAAACTAGCCAAGAACGTATCATTC